CACTTTCCCACCAAACAACCTAAAGTAAGGACTAGTCTATTGATCTTCTTTGGTTTGGATTTATACCCACAATTAAGATTTTTTTTCATATTGACCTTCAATCCTAAAAAAAATTCACACACTAATTTTTTTTAAGTTAAACTTTTCCTCCTCTCCCGATGGGGAAAAAAAAAAGATAGTATTATCTAGTGTGAAACCAAAATCCTCTTTCTTCCAATCACAAATATTTCCATAAGACCACACCTCTCAACTCATAGAACTAGTCTACTCAAGCCATCAACCACTAAACTGAAACGAATAGGCAACAAAGGATCACATTGTCTAAGCTGCCTAGAGGCTTTAAATCTCTTCTTCGGTTTACTATTAAACATGACTAAGAAATTCACTGACTGCAAACACCCCCTAATCCATCTTCTCCCTTTACCCCAAAACCTTTCATCTCTTACACACAATCCAAAAAAAATCACTCCACAGTCATAATCCTCCTCAAAATCAATTTTAAATACAAGTCCCTCCTCCCCACTAGATCTATGATCCTCCACCATTTCATTAGCCAAAAGAGTGACATCTAAGATTTGCCTTACTTTAACAAATGCACCGTAATTAGCCAAATTTGTCTCGTCAAGATTCACTCTCTCTTTCTCTAATGGATAACATTTTGGCAATGATCTTATAAGGCTACATACCAAACTAATTGGCCTAATATCCTTTATTTTCAAAGTCTTTTCTTTTCTGTTTTTGGCATGAGACAAATAAAGGTAGCATTAGTGACTGAACCAGCCCTTTATGAAAAAAAATTCCAAGAACACATTCATCACATCCTTTTTAAGGACTACCCAAGAACCTTGGTAAATAGTCATAGTGAAACCTTCCGTACCAAGGGTGTTATCCTTAATAAACTAAAAAATGGTCTTTCTAACTTCATCCTCCTCAAATGGTCTTTCTAACTAACTTGCTTTTATATTATCAATGTGAGTTCAATCCAAACCCTCCAAAATTGGCCTAAGACAATCATGATATGAATATAAATTGGCAAAGAACTCAATAATTTCATTCCCAATTCTTCCTTCCTTTTCCATTATTTCTCCACTGTCACTTCAACTTGTCAATGAAAATTATTATCACCTTCTTTTGTCCATTTCATTTTTTCCTTTTGTCTCCATTTCTTTCTTTAAAACAACCTCCTTAAATTTATAGCTTAATCCCATCTTTACATCCTCATATTCTCATATTCTCATCCAATGCCCTAATCTATTCCACCTTATCAATTTCTTCCATTTTTTTCAAAATTAATCTCTTACTAACCCTAATATACCCAAAACATTTTTATTCCATGTCTTTACCTTCTATTTTATTAAATCTAATATTTTTGTATATTTATAACCTTCCCACGAGAAATATCCTTCTCCCACCACTGCTTAAACTAGCCCCTAACAGCATTATGCTTAGGTTTTGGGCTTGAGCATTCTCAATCCTTTCCCTAATGATGTGATTTAGTGGTTGCGTGGTTAGCTCCCTTCTATACCAAAGTTCGTGTGTCTAGCAGCGCATGGAATAGGAACCACAACTTGCTTGTTACGGTTTGAACGACCATAACATTCTAATCAACAACTGTAGTATATAACCAACTGTTTCGCTGCCTAATTGTGTGCCCAGATGTAGGCTTGCAGTTCGTGGCATAAGCGTGTATGGGATTTTAAATAGCTGTTAAGGTTCACCCAAGCATCTTTGACCAGATGACCAAATGGGCTCACCACTCTTAGTTCTGCTGGTCAAATCTTTTGCCAACCGTGTCCTCCTTTAGGGCTATGCTCGAGGTGCACGTCTTTCAATACTTGCTTTGTTAGCAAGCCTATAGCCTTGTTGCTAAAGCTGTAGCCCTAGCTTCTTGGAACTTCTGTTGTCCCATTCATTGTGGTTTCTCGGCCCTGCTAGCCATTTGCTTGCTCGAACTGTACACATTCAAAGAATAGGCAAGCAATACAAGCAAACAAGCCATCCAAGTTTATAGAATCGAAGCTTAGAAAGAACTTGGAAATTTCCCTGTGACTAACTTAGCGCACTTTCGGTGGTAGCCATTGGGCTAAGTCTCTATAAAGAGCCACTCCCATTTCAATAATATTCTTATTTCTAAAAAAATATAGACAAGATAATTAAATATCACAAACCACTTTTGAAGCTAAAGATGGACAACAGAGCCATAGAGCACACATATGGTTTAACACCATTAGATTATATTTCTCATTTATTTTTGAAACCAAATATCTCAACACATACTATGTGATCTACGAAAGCTTACCCTAGTACATGACATTTTAGAGTAAGTGACTAATCGCATTCCCACCTTGTTCCACACACCAAAACATGTATTCCTAGTAACTTTGACATAGACATATTTCTTATGCAAAGATAGATATTGGACGTAAACCCTTCACATGAAGGATAACACTCCTTCTAAAGTAAGTCAATAGAGTCCCACAATGTGCATTGTTTGGTTCCAACTGCTCCGATTCAAGATTGTCATCGTATCAGAAAAGATAACGACGACGAGGCCGCCTTAAAACTTTGCAATAACCCATGTCAAGAAGTTGTCATGGAAAGTAATTTCATACATTCTAGTGATAAGGGTATTCTTGTCATTTTGGTGCTAATTTTGTTTGGGATGAGGGATTTTCCCTATGTATTCATCGCATGACATACAATTACATAACATAAATCAGAATGAAGAATAGTAAATTTCGTTGTTAATGGTGAACTGAGATATGACAAACTTTTGGCATGAATCTATAATGATGGAAATTTAAAAATTTTGTACTTTTTGTCACAATCATATATAAAATGAAAATCATATATCACATTTGTGCTTGCGAAATCAAAGTACAAAGTTAAGGTTGATCAAAGTTAAAAAGATCAATATGGTTAAATTAGTTTTCCAACGGGATAGAGGTGACTAAACAAAGAATCATCATGTTGTAAAGGATAGAACACCATAACTAATGAAAATTAAGAGTAACATACAATTATAACAACCGTTTCTAAATTGTTTGCCAAATGTATCCCGTGAGGGTGAGCACAATTGTTTTCGAGATAAAACCAAGAGTGGTGGGTATAACATTTCTTTAAAAAAACACAAAACAAAGAAAAAGAGAAGTGTGGTATCGTGTAGCAAGAAAAGGGAATAAAAAAATGTGATCACTTGGAGGAGAAAGAAATAAACTTGAGAGATACAGAGGTAATAAGGGCAAATTATCTTTGTGAGTTACTGTCCAGGAAGCACTGATATGGATACGAGATACAGGTACGATACAATACGATACGGATACGGTGATACGACAAAACCTAAAAAAGTAGGATACGAATACGACCAGAATACGTTTATAATAAAATTTATTATATCTTTAACCATTATTGAAAAACTTAAAAATTATAATTTTTAGTAATTCTTTAACACTAGTAAACAAAAATAACAATTTTTACAATGAAAAATGTGTAATATCGTCTTATTATGATATATCCATAAAGTGAACATAACCAATTAAAGGAATTAGAAGCAACATTTACCTAGTTAGTTTGCTTACAAGTATTTGTTTCAAAGGTTATAGTGTAACTAATTGATTTTTTTATACTCTTAACATATTATAGCAGACAATACTTAAAAAAACACTCGCATTTTCAAAATCGAATCGAATTTGGTAATATTTTGTAATGTATGTAAACTCAAAAGGAAATGTCATAGATTATAATTGAAAATTGTACATTTTGCTCCATATGTATAAGTATCTATGAAGCATCCACATTTTATTAATTATCAGATATGTATAATGCGTATCCAATACATATTCTCGAGTATTCGATACAGGTATGTCGACCTATATGAAGTATCAGTGCTTCATAGGCTATTCTTCTTTTTCATCCCTTCATGCATTATTAACAACGATTAAGATTAATCCAAGTTTTATCTATTTTGATCCAATGGTATAAAATTCATTTTAAAATATTTTTTCTCGTTCAAAAACATCATCTTCATGTCCCTAATATCAAAAACTTAATCAACACACTCTCCAATGTCAAACAACTTCATTAATCAACACCTACCTCTCTCTTCTCTCTTATTTTTTCCTTTTCACTTTAATTTTAAATTACATAATTAAACGAAAAAAATTTAAATATTGTTATTTAAAATATAAGTATTGCACGATTAATGTTCAATTTTTTATCGTTACATGCACATTTATATGTATCGTCACAAACAAATCTTATTATAATACCCATGTTTAATCTAGTATTAATTTTATTATAATACCCAACGTTCCTTCAAAAATTAAGGATTTTATTTGGACCGTTGTCCTTAATCGGATGAACACTAACAATTTATTGCAAGTTTGGAGGCCCTATAAAACATTGAGTCCTAACATTTGCATTACTTGTTTGAGCAGTGGAGAATCGAATGCTCATTTATTTATTCATTGTAGTTTTGCATGAAACTTATGGAATATATTCTTCAGTTCAAATGGTGAGCCATTCTATAGAAGAGCAAATATTGCAAATTAAGTTTTAGTGTTTTGGAAAGAAAAAGGAAGGTAAAGTACCATGGCATTATGTGATCATGGAGATTCTTAGGTGTATTTGGATGGAGAAAAATGCTAGAATTTTTAATAATTGTTCTCTTCCTTCTAATTTAGTATACAAGTGATTGATTTTTATGACTTCATTTTAGACCAAATTCACTGGAAGTTTTAGAGGGATGTCTTTGTCAGATCATCAAAAGAATTGGATGGCGGCGTTGCATTAGTTTTATTTTCTCTTTTTGTTGACCTTTTTCCCTATGTTATTTTTTAAGTCACTCATGTGCTAAAGATATCTTGTCCATTGTACTATGTTTCTTTATTCCTTTCTATAATAAAATTCTTCTTTTATCAAAAAAAAAAACACTCTGAATATGAAGATATTGAAAAATGTACCCTCCAAAACAATGGAGAAATGGTAATGTTTCATCATACCTTGTCAATGTCATCCTGATCCTTTCTAGTAAAACCACTAGCAGCAAGTTCCTTGTCTAGGAAACCAACGACTTTTGTTATGCAAGAAAAATGAGGCTTGCCAATCTCATCTGAATCTACCTCAGAACCATTAGATTCATCTTCATGTTCTTGAAAAGACAGGCCAAACCTGTCAGAAAGAGTGCAAAAATAAATGAATGATGACAATGAAAATGGTAATAATGGCAACATCATCATTAAGTGCCGACTAGATCTCAGGTTTAATCCCACAGAAACTCTAACGAAAAACATTTACAAAGTTATGGAACGAGGGCATTCAACCACCACCACTAGGTTGGGCATGGTCCGCACCAGGTTAGGACCACTCTAAAATTCTAAACCTTGGTCCACATTTTCCAACTGGGCCCTTAGACCAGTCCCTAGACCAATGCAATCTAGAATATTGGTTTTTTCTTCACGAAAAACACTAAAAAGTCACTTTTCCTCTCAAAACACACCCAATCGAATATATCTTAGGACGATTAAGTCTTATTCTTCATCATTGATTCCAAAGAAGTCCTATTTCTTAGGGTGAATGAAACGTTGCATCCTAAAAGATTCTCAAATTCTCAGTTTACACATTAAATTATTAAAATTCTCACATTACAACATTAATCAAATAATAAGTAGCAATGTAGTACAAAAGTAAAATGTGTTGCCTTTTCTGACAAGCTTTCCTGTTTATTACTTTTAAGTGCTTTCAATAAATCTGGTACTCAATTTCCTTTAAATGGAGCACATTCTTACCTTTTTGTTTGATTGAGGATGTAATGTGGGAATTTCATGGTCATTAAAAGCAAGTATGGCTTGTTAGCTAATGGATGAGAAGCTAATGAGGTTGATATGGGAAGCTACCAAAATCCTTGGAAATTCATTTCTCAAGGTTTACCTTTCTTCTCTTTAAAGGTTAAGTTTATTGTAGGTAATGGGATAAGAGTTTGGTTTTGGGAGGATATTTGGGTTGGGTTGTCATTGTCAAGTTTATTTCCTTTGAGAGTTATCCTTTCTCGTTATCATGGTTATAGTGTTGCTTCTTTTGTAAGGTCTTATTCCATACCAATATCTTGGGATTTTGGGCTCAATAAAAACTTAAATGATGGTCTCTTCAAAGTTGGTGTCACTTCTTTCCTTGCTTAATTAAATCCCGTTCTGTCTTGATGAGGTGGATAAAAGGTGTTGGTCATTGACTCATTGGAGTTATTCTCATACAAGTCCTACTTTGATTCATTGATTGATGATTCCTTCAATTCCTTTTTTTTTATTCGTCATTGAAGATTTGGAGAGCTGAGATTTTATTTAAAGTACAAGTTTGTGCATGGGTAATTGCTTATGATAGAATTAATACTTACCATATGTTACAAAGGATGCATTCTACTTGTTTGAGCCCACAATGGTGTATTACGTGTAGAGGTAGTAGTGAAAGCGTGGATCATTTATTCCTTCTGTGTCCAATTGTCGTTGTGGAATAAATTATTTGAGTTGGTGGGCCTTTATTGAGTGGTCCCGAGATCTATTTCATCAATGTTATGTGTGGATTTTAAAGGATTAGGTGGAGGTGGGAAAGGTGTGATACTATGACATTGTTTATTTTTCACTGTTTGAGGAATGCAAGAATATTTGAAAACAAAATGGAAGAGTTGGAGGGTCTATAGGAAATGACTTATTTTTTAGCTTCTTTTTGGGCTTCGGTGCCTAAGGGGTTCGAGAATGTCTCTCTTTTTTGTATTATTTTGAGCAGTACAGCATCTTGCCGATGTTAACAATTTGGCTTTGGAAGTGCTTGTGTATTTTTTTTGGTTTGTTTATGGCCGCAAGCTTGTTTGTCCGTTCTGGGTTGGACTTCTTGTTCAACTTCACGCCTATAATTCTTCGTTATGATTATGATTATCAATAAAATGTTTGTTTCTTATCGAAAAATTCCTTCGTACTCCTTGGAAACTGGTAAGATCCATGCACGGTTTTGAGTTTTCGGCTTTTAGCTAATGGATTTAGCCTTTTGATTATGCTCTACCATGCTTCAGTATCTTGCTGAACAGAACAGCCTAGAATCCTGTCTAATCAATACTGCTAAAGACAAAGGTAGGCCCAGAACCACTAAAGAGAGATTGCCTTACCTTGGAAGAATTTGGGAGAATGAGATGGCTAGTAGTGATTTTTATAAAGAATCAAGTGATGGCGATGAGGAAAAAAATCTCACCCTTGATTTCATATCTCATTTTACTTTGGTGATTTCTATTCAAAAAAGATAAAGGGAAAAACAAAACAAGAAATACAATTAAGAATTAGGACTTCTTTAGCGCCAATTTTGAAAAGTAGGACTTAATTCACGTAATATAAATTTGATAAGATTCAATTGTTCATACCGGTGTTTCTCCCTATTTTTTGAATTGTTTATTGGTAATAAACATGAAAAAAAAAATATATGCAATAAATAATATATGTCGATATATAAAAATATTATATTTTCTACATAATTTTGCTTTTAGTTAAACATAAAATCAAGGTAAAAAACTTGTCCTCTTTAGCACTAAATAGTGTCGCTCAAGAGGGGTCCGCTCATTACTAAAACTATATTTTCAAAACATAAATGATGTAGAAAATCTTTTTCATTTAAAAATACATAGAAGCCATTTACGGATTAATTCATCATTCTATTTTTACTCTAATCCTCCTAAGTCAATTAAACCAATGAATCATCTTTGATATCTAAGTCATTAACTTTGTTCTAATCTTGAAGGTGCAATCAAAGAGTGAATGATATAGTATTGATACTTAATCTCCTCCCTTCAATGATGCTTTCGGATCTTAAATCTTTGTAGTATCATGACTATAGAATATGTTGAGATTTACAATGAACTCCACGAAATTAGTCAATACAAACATATATCTAACCAAGGGGTTAATTGAGCTAATTGATTAACTAAATTGTAATTGAGTAGAATAGGTTTATTTGGGAATAAATTTTGTGCTAGAGTGTACAAGTCCAATTCACCCCCTCTAGATTAATTACACTTGTTTCAGCATATAGTGGTTGGTCTTTTATTGGCATTCCCAGAGAAAACTCGTATCACTTAATCTTCTGAGTGATGCAGCTATTGAAAAAATACTGAGAAGATTTTAACAATAAATTTCTAGGCAATTTCTCTAGAACACTCTTGTTGATTTGAAAATCTAGGAGAAAAAAGAGTGTTTAGGGTTTAATCTTTCAAGGTTTTCCTCTAAAGGCTACTAGGGTTTATTGATCTGAAAGAGCTCTTCAAAAGCTTTTTTTTTTTCTCATTTGTCTAAGCTTAATGTCCTAGGATTTTATATTTATAGTAAAAACCTAGAAATGAAGTATGCATAGGTATTCTAATTGAAATAGGATTCTGATGCATCACAGTTGCTTGATCGTGCGATTTCCCACTTAAGTGCCATGCAAGCGCAAGTGACAACAATTTTTTGAAACCTCTACCAACTTTCTCAAGGAGAATGCCAACTGCTGAAAACCATTCGAAATAGTTCCAAATGAGCTCAAATATGTACCCTTATATTTTGGTTGAATGTGGCCTATACTTTGGCCTAATTTTACACTTAAAAATCAAGTTTTTCATAGTGATTAAGTATACATCACACAAATCAATTCTCGGAAACATTTTTAAAATAATTCCAATGTTTATAAAGGTATCTAAGTTCACTTACCAATTCTAGCCGAAGTAGGAATGATTAACCCTAAAAAGTTACATTATATATATATATATATATATAGATATATTACAACACTAGAACTACTGGTCTAGTGGAAATAAGCGGTAAATAAAAGGGAGATAGAGCTCTTCTTTTGCATTCTTGAAGAAGGCTTTACAAGTGAGGGGTAGGTTTACAAGTATTAGAGGCTTGTAATGTAGTTCTGAAACCAGACTAGAGAGAGTGTCTGAAGTTCAAAAAGTTGGGTTCTTCTGAGGAGAGGGAGCTGCCTTATATAGAGGTAAGGGACTCCGGATTCTCCTTGTGCAATCATTCTGCCTTTCTCTTTTACTCAGGGTAAAGTAAATTCACTTTCTTGCTTTCGGCTGAAAAGTGGAGTAAGATTCTCTTACCCGGGTAACTAGGACATGCTGAAGGGACTAGTGGGTCCTATCTGTCTGTCCTGAGAATCCATCTTTCGGTGGGAAAGCAGATTATGGGCCCTGCTTTTGTCTGTGAGAATCCTGCTTTTAGGGAAAGGGGATCCTATGCAGACTTGTCATATTATTTTTACACAGAGTGGACAGCTTTTCTTTCTCTTTTGAAGAAAGTAGTGATTGAAGCCACTTTATGTAAACCATAATTCACGGGAGTGCAAGGTCAGGAGTGAGATCATCAACATCAAAGTCTTCTATTCCTTCATACGGATCCTGAGCATAGCCTGGAGGAAGATCTATTGTGAAAGATCCTTGGGAAGACAATGAGTCACTGTCTGAGTCAAGTTGATCCAAGAGCTTCTTGAGGAGTTTTGCTTTGGACTTTTTCTTGCTGGACTTCTTGCTGGAGCCTTTAGAACCTTTAGATGAAGATTCTTCTGGTCTGGTCTGTGCTATAGGAAGACTAGTCTGGCTTGATTGAGCGGGCAATTCCTTCACTGGTGTTGCTGGTTGTAAGGGGCCTGGAACTACTACTGGAGTTGGGACCCTTACAGGGAAGTCCTGTTTCACCATGGCAATAATGTCACTATGCTGAAACCTGGGCCACCACTTGGCATAAAATTGCCGGGTTAGATTAAATCCAACAATTTCCCATTGCCATTTGAGTATCCAGGGGACTTTGTACCTGCAAATAAATATTAGTAATAAGGGAAATGGGGACTCCTGTTTACTAGGACGGTAAGAGGAGTAGAAGATATTGATCTGATCTCTGAGATCAGCTGAAAAGATTTCATCAATGGGACCATGTTGATGCCACCACTGTTTAAACCATGCAGGAATATGACTTTTGAAATCTTTATGAAAATTCAAGAACCAAGAATGGGACAAATCCTCATTTTGGTAGAGTAATACTTTTGATCATGACTCAATGTAGTCATAGTAATTAAAATGTCTGGTGTGAAAGGGAAGTTCTCTGAGCAAAGAAGGATGAGAACCCCATTCCTTAATAGAAATAATCTTGGTTATGACCAAACTGTGATAGAGAACCTTATTTGGGTTAATCTTATCAAGGATGGGCTTGGTATGGATAGATTTGGTGTAGTAGAGAATATCTTGGTAAAAACTATGGGGTTTTTCCAAGTCTACTGG